ACTTACGTCATCAGCAGTACGTAGCTCACCATTAGACTCGGTCATTCGTGTGAGTAGCCATGCAAGATCAACGAAGGAAGTCGAAAAAACTGTGCGTCGGGTAAACCACTCCATTTCTACCTTTCCTTTAAAAGTGGTAAGGGCAGGACGCCTCCCCCTGACTGTCACCTCTTCAATCTCGACTATACTAAAAGTGGGATTCAGTGAGCGTTTCTTGGCAGAATGGTCGGCGTAGACGGTTCTCTCGTTTTGCATTGCATTTTGATTACGCTGATAGACTACAGGAGTAGTGGCATGGGTGGTGGTATTTTTACCATCCAGTGTCTCCTCATTGATGTCATTATTGTCGGCCGCCATGTGAACGAATGATCCTGGTGAAATATTGACTGGTATAACCACACCATCAGCTTCTGCCTTTGCCAGAGTCTCATTTGCAATGCTTGTTTCTACCTGTTCGGTTTCGTCGTACGAAGAACAATGCCCCATTCGGTTAAGAAGTGTAACTAACTGTTTGCTACCAGTTAGGTGTTTAACTGTCATAGCAAGCCCCACGTGCTTTGGCACTTTTATACGGGCGTGACTTGAGGCATTGACAATATCTTGGCCAATCATGACTACTTTCCTTTCATTGCTAGTATTTGAGCAGGACGATTGATTAAGGTCGAAGTCTTCGCCAGTGACAATCCAGCGTAACAGCCARTAGAGGTTTTTTGGTAGCAAGGTTTTCGACTTCTGGAGTGTAAGGTCTTGTAGATCTAAAGGCAAAATTTCAATTCCTTGGGATTTTTGTACATCTTTTCTTATGTTCATGGCCATATGGTATAGGTTWTTCATTGACTGACTATCTGAAATTAAAGTTGTCTTGTCCTCGAAGTCATTTTTATCATGAATAGGGTAGCAACGTCCAGCTGTGTTAATGATGTCAAGTAGCGAGGTCGCAGCAGAAAATACTATTTCTGATGTTGATGGTCCAAAGGGCTGATGGAATACAAGGCTTTCTCTAAAATACCCTTTGAGTCTCTCTTTAAGCTTTTGACGAGTATAGCTTCTTCCTTCGATCCCTCGTTTCTGAAGACCATCCTGGTATCTGAGTAAAAGCGCGTTCATGTCAAACGCTTTTCCGGCTTCGATTGCTGGTTTGATGTACAATAGTAATTCTTCAAACGTTTCTTCAAATGGGTCTGGCTTAGTAGTTTGAGACCTCTTACAAGATTTCACATTTTTTGCACTCACGTAAGATGCATGGCAATCTTTGTGGTACCTCCCTCCCACGGCAATAAGGTCATTGACGCTAAGTACGGCCAATAGGTCTGTATCACCTCTTTCCATTGCTGACTTTTTGATTGTTTCGCAGCCATTAAGAGAACTGATCGTAATGAGGTGCTTGTCTTTTTTTCGCGATGACTGTTTACAAAAAATACATTTATGGTGCCAATCAAAGGGAATACGCGGTACTCTTGACGCCTGACATGAAGCTTTAT